ACTCTTGATCAAGACAGTGTGAAGCAAAACCAATTTATGGTGCCAACAAGAGCTTCATCAATGGAGGGGAACCACAATTCTCAAAAGCTTCACACACTCTTGATCAAGACAGTGTGAAGTAAAACTAATTTATGGTGCCAACAAAAGCCTCATCAAAGGAGTTCAACCACAATTCTCAAAAGCTTCACACACTCTTGATCAAGACAGTGTGAAGCAAGACCAATTTATGGTGCCAACAAGAGCTTCAACCACAAAACTCCTAGAAAGCTTCACACACTCTTGATCAAGACAGTGTGAAGCAAAACCAATTTATGGTGCCAACAAGAGCTTCATCAATGGAAGGCAACCATAATTCTCAAAAGCTTCACACACTCTTGATCAAGACAGTGTGAAGCAAAACCAATTTATGGTGCCAACAAAAGCCTCATCAAAGGAGTTCAACCACAATTCTCAAAAGCTTCACACACTCTTGATCAAAACAGTGTGAAGCAAAACCAATTTATGGTGCCAACAAAAGCTTCATCAATGAAGGGCAATTACAACTCGTAGAAAGCTTCACACACTCTTGATCAAGACTGTTCGAAGCAAATTCAATTTATACGGTTCATCCAAACCTTCGACTACTACAAGGTGTGGCTTGTATCACAATCTCTTGCTCAACAGTGTGGAAGCAAAATTTGTATATGTTGTCTCTCCCACATTTTCAAATTTCTAATTTTCCCAAAAAAAAAATGGGAAATTCAACAAATTTCTAGTTTTGCCCAAAGAAAAAAAGAAAACTGGGAAATTCAAAAAAGTTTCACCACAAAAGCTTCATCAATGGAGGACAATTACAAATTCTCAAAAGCTTCACACTATCTCACACTATCTTGATCAAGATAGTGTGAAGCAAAAATCAATTCATGGTACCCAACAAAGCTTCATCACAAAAGCTTCATCAATGGAGGATAACTACAAATTCTCAAAAGCTTCACACTATCTTAATCAAGATAGTGTGAAGCAAAATCAATTCATGGTACCCAACAAAGCTCAAAAGGATTACTTTCTCAAAAATCGAAGAGACACTACTCTCCGAATCTCAAGAGTCAAACTCCCAACATGATTGCTTTCTAAAAAATCGAAGAGGCACCGTTCTCTGAATCTCGAGAGCCAGATTCCCGACAGGATTGCTTGTTTGAAAATCGAAGAGGCACCATTCTCTGAACTTCAAGAGCTAGATTTCCTTGGATAAAGCTTGTCTGCAATCCTCACACACAACATCAGCTTTCCAAATACCACAGACCACTTTTTCAAAGTGCTCTGACAAAGTTAAAACACGTGATGCTTACAACTCCCACTACATTGCTATGACCAAGAAGGGTAAAGGAATAGCATTACTACTTATTGTTAGGGAAACTCATATATATGTTGACCTCCATCCTCCACAGCCAGGCAGACCTATAAATAAAAAAAATGCTCAACTTTTCTTCACATCCGAGAGGGCACTTTCAGCAGAGTCTCTCGAAATACTCAGCTTTTTTCCCTCCGATAATACCTTTGAAAACAAGCCACACCAAAGCAAGAGTATCTCATATCATCAGGGTTAAAAACAAGAGTATACCATATCATGATTTTTCCCTGTCTTTTCCTTTGGCCTTGTTCTTACCTGCAAGACAAGGAGAAAAAGAGCAATCAGTCAGCACTTGGAATCAAGCTTCCAGTCAGGAACTGACTGCCTGGAACCCCTTGCCTGACTACTTACCTGGCATTGCTCTCGAGTACTCATCTTCAACATCTTATGTTTCCAAAGAAGATACCACATCTACCTGAGGAACAGATAGGGCAAGTGAGAATGATACAAGGAAGCATGTGGAGACAAGCGTAACAGAACACATGCCGATACATCCACTACTTTGTCAACAGCAAAAGTATCCCATATCATCAAGGTCGAATGTACTCTAGATTTGATGGACTTGTTTTGACCCTCAAATTCTTGAGTCGGCCTTATACTCTGGAGGAAACCAGAAAACCCTCCAGCCCAGTTCAAGAATAAGTCTGTGGAAAGTTACTTCTTCAAAAGAAAAAGTATCTCAAATCATCTCTTCTCCATTTGCTTCTCCTTATCCTTGTTGCTGTTTACGACATAAGGAGAAGGAGAACAATCAACCAGAAGCTGAAGTCGAACCTCCGATCCAGGTTGCTTGCTTAGAAGTCTGATTGCTTACCTTATTTGTTACCTCCTTCGGCAAATCTCCTAGCCCGACGACTTAGGGGACTCCTACTATAGGGTTTGTATCGCACTTGACCAAGCCCCAAACTACAAGTAAGCTTCAAGTGAAATTGATACATTACCTTATGCATCTTCATCGGTTAAAGATACCACCCCTGGATAGAGGAAAAGTACTTCCAGAGAAGATGCCACATCTACATATGAGACAGATAAGGCAAGTGAAAAGGATACCACACTTCGGTACTTAGAAGTTTCGTGATTACTCAAAGGCTTGGATCTTGCAAGTCCCCAACCGAGGAGCTTCCCTCACTCGGGAACTTAGGGGAGCACTGTTTGTACCATACTTGACCAATCTCGAAACTACTGAGCACCGGTCAACGTTATACCATCAAGGACCTAGAAGAGTTTCCCTCCAACCAGGAAGGCAATCACACCGCAACATGTGTCGACATCAGAAGCCAATCATAGCGCGACACGTGTCAACATCAGAAGCAAATCACAACACGACACGTGTCAATGTCAAAATGAAACTAGAAACTCTCTTCTATAAATAGAGATCATTCTCTCACAATATTGCCTAATGTCATTTGTACTAAATCATTCACTAGTACTCACTAAAGGAGAGCTTGAACCTATGTACTTGTGTAAACCCTTCATAATTAATGAGAACTCCTCTACTCCGTAGACGTAGCCAATCTGGGTGAACCACATATATCTTGTGTTTGCTTCCCTGTCCCTATCCATTTATACTTATCCACACTAGTGACCAAAGCAATCTAGCAAAGGTCACAAACTTAACACTTTCTGTTTTACCAAAGTCCTCACTGATTTTGTGCATCAACATATGTCATGGAATAATGTAACAAAGGATAATCCTCGACGACCAACCCCAATGAAAAACAGGGTACATGGAACATATACAACGTTGAGTAGGATGAGGTTTATGATTTACAATTAAGGTTGCCGAACAAACGATTTTGTGGGTCTTCAAAAGGATGGCTTGTAACTGTCGATGAAACTTTCGTGGTGATCTTAATGAATCCATTCATAAGGATTCAAGGATGTGAAGAGAATGAAAATTCAGTCATTCGCCTTCCTTCAGTGATGCCTCCTTTATAAGAGCAACCATACAAGCTCTATAACAAACTAGCCAAGAACATAAGATTTAACCAACTAAATCACAATCATCACTCCAAATATATTATGTATATGTAAATACTAAAGTAATTTCTACAACACATACCTGCAGACTGTTTGACGAAGTCTTTCCCATGTGTGTATGGCATTAGGTCATGAGTAAGTTCAACTCACATTTCCAACAGTCTTCTGGATAGTTGCAACCCGCTGGAATGCCCTCTCAGATTCCAAAGCCCGAACTCTAAGCTTCAGATCACCTTACTCCAATCTTTGTATAATTTCAGCAAGCTTTTCAACTCTGTCAATGTTCATGAATGAAGAAGCCATGGACGAATCTACACACAACCTTCTCCTTTCTGCAAAACTCAATGCTCTCCAAGTTATAGGTAATCGGAACAATAAGAGCGTGTTTTTGTGAGAGCAGGAGCTTGTGGTTTTTATACTACAAAATTTGGATTACCCTATAATAATCCTACAAGGAATACAAGACCAAATCCTTGTACAAGTATGAGTTCTATTCTCGAGCCAACAGTACAGTTTCAATCCAAACCAAAGTTAAACACATTAAGACCTCTTTATATCAATCTGAAATAACAATGATTATTACTAAACTGTGAGAATCACACTCATACTCTAACATCCTCTACCTAGACGCACCAAGTATTGGGCTCGACGATACGACTGTTATGTTCGCAAGGCTACTATTTCAGCAGATCCGGTTTTAAATGCAGATGAATGTGTTGTTGAGGTCATATTCGGGGATGGTTATCGATTGGCTTCTATTAGACTTTCTAAAGATAAAACTTGGACGTATCGCGATCATAGGACGTGGCACTTCATTGACGATGTCGTTCATGTTGGAGATAATGTTTACTGCGTCGATACGTCTGATAGACTTAACCTAGATGGGAAAATTATTGAACAACGTATAGTTCGCAAGAGATATCTCGTGGACCTGAACAAAAAACAAGTTTTAATGGTGAAAAGGTGCTTCAAGATGGAAAAAAAAGGAACAGACGGCGATACCCAAACTTTGTGACAAAAAATTTTGAAATTTTTAGATGATGGAGCTTTGAAGAAAGTAAAGTGGATTGAGATGATAAGTTTGGGTGATGTTGCTCTCTTCGTAGGGGCTAACGATTCGGTATCTGTTTTGACCTCAAAGTTACCGGGAAGTTAGCCGGATTGCATATACTTCGACATGGATTGGCAATATGTAAATTGGAATCACGAAGAGTATGGTGTGTATAACTTAAAGACTCAAAGCATTTCAAAGCCTTACCCCCCCCCCCCCGCCCCCAACATGCCTTGACACTATTGAATATGACCAAGCAAAAATCAATCCGGTTTCTGCCAACTCTTCGCCTTCGGTCGTGAATTAATGCTCCTTGCATCTCATCTTCTTTTATTCTTCTTCTATCTGCAACTTAATGGTTTTACTCCTCTTCTTCTTCTACTATTAATGTAATTTCCAGACGCATATTTTATTGTTGAAGGTTTTCCTTAGGATTGTAGCTCTCTTATTTGACATTTGTTTCGTATAATATCGACAGCCAGTTTGGTATCAAACTTAAATTCAATTTTTTTAACTCAAAAATTTAAACCGGGATTGTAAAGTCATCAGAATTCGCCGAAAAAAGGGTAACTCAAATCATAGAAGATGAATCAAAACCTACTAACAATAACAAGAGCGAAACCGAAACATTCAATCGATGAGAGAGAGAGAGATATTGAAGCGCGAACAGAGAGAGGCAGGAACGAAGAGAGACGAAAGCGCCAACGGAAAACAACACTTGTGCTGCGGTCTGTAACAATGGCGGTTCATCCTCTACGTCTTAATTGCCATCATTCATATCCCTTAACATCTGTTACCCTGAACCATAAATATATATCTAATGTAGTGATATAGAAATCAATGTCAATGTTAAGTTTTCCATTTTAAGGTCCTCGTCATGAATCACCTTGATCACTGTGTTATGTCCTTATTTCCACCAGCTTGAATTCAGTGATAGAGAGATACAACAGATCAAAGGAGGGACATCAGCGATAGAGAGAAACAACATATCAATTTCCGTTGCTGATGAACCCTAAAATTTTCACCTTTCTTTGCCAAGGAAGCAAACCGACCTCCCAGAAAGTGATATAATCAACTGCGGTTCATACTCTAACACTACAAAATCGAAAAACATCGAAAAATAAGCAAGACACTAAAAAATTCATCCAATAACATGAAGAAACATAGGTGCTAAAAGAATCTGCAGATTTAAGCACAAAAGCATAAGCTCCAGAAGAAGTGGATAAAACAGGGTTTAAGAAGCAGAAATTATCATTAACAAGTAGATCCAATCCTGAACACAAAAGCTAATTAATAAGTGGAAAAGCTAATGAAAGCAGCTAACAGAGACAAAAATTGAAGTAAAAAAGCAGCTTGTGAGGAAAGTGCTTACTTTGAGGGAAAAGCAAGAGCTCTCAAAAAAGAGAATTTTGATTTGTGGGTTTACAACACGATGCATATATTAGGTACATTCAATTCAACAGTAAAAGGGAAATAAACAAAGTAAAAAAAAAACAGTTAATCAAGGGAAAAAAAAAAGCCTGAGAATGTTGATTCCAGATGAAAAGATAACTAACACAGCAGCCATTAACTTAATCCAAAGAACTGGCCCAAAACACAGAAACCCTTTTGGAGAAAACTCATTCCCGTCACAGTGACATCTCCGTTGCATCAAAGTTCACTCCCCAAGGCAAGAACAACTAAAACCGAAAACTTGGCCAACTGGGTTTGTATCTAAAGAACAAGAAAGGCATATAAAATGAAAAAAAAAATAATAAAGGTTGGAACTTTATTCATTTGTCAAACATTAATAGAATGTTCTAAAGATTCCCATATATTATTGAGAGAATATAATATTATGATTCGCATGCTTCTAACGTGGGGTTGGAAACTAATACCAGGTATAAAGAGAGAGACTTTGTTGGCCCTGCGGAGATGTTGCTCCATGATATCAGGATGACGACCTCTGAATCTTCAGTGGAAACAGAAATGGTGTTTGTGGAGATGTCCAGTTTCTTCCTTTCACATTTTAAAGTTGGGAGGTGCATAATTCTCATCAAGAATTCTTGTTGCAGGATTCTTCTTTCCGTTTTGGATGTTTCTGCCACCAAGTGATAAGTTGATAACAGCGTACACAAAATGTATGTATGATATAATTTGATTTGTCTTTATCTTTTGTAATTACCCTAATTAACGGGTAGAATTTTTTGAACGATACCTCGACCAAGTGACCTAATTTACAACTCTAATCATTATGTTTTGATTACCGTCATCAGTACGATAAGAACATTACTTTTAACAAAGTAAAAATTGAATATCACAAAACCGTATAGTCATTGGTAATAAAAAATAAAATATGTTGAGCATTATTTTCACAATGACTAAAAATTGTGTGGTGACAACTAAAAGTGCTTTATAGAAAAACATGTCAAATGCTTATTCAACAAAGGTTTTCAATTATTTTTATAAGAAGCACGTGAATCTTAGACAAAATTTTAACATGTTTTTTTATAGGGGAATACTAGCAACATTTTTACTTTTTATTTTAACCTTCTCACTTTTTCTCATGCCATGTGGATTATACTAGCATGCAAAATTAAAAAGTTAATTCTTATTGGTTGAAAAACTAAAAATCTTAATTATATTAACAAAGAAACAATAGTGTTTGAGTTTGACAACAAAAAAACAAACGACAATAGTGAGATTTTAATATATTAAAATTTTAGTTTTGAGTGCTAATAGAGTACACGTGGCAGCATGAGAAGAAGTAAGAATGTTAAAATGAGAAGATAAGTGAAAATATTACTGGTATTTGTCTTTATAATAAAAGCACTTCCAGCATTAACGCATATAAGTACAAGTGTTCTTTATAAAAGCAATCGCAAACGGATCAACAAGTCAAGCAGCAAGAGAAATAAACCGTACATAACCTTCAAAAACCAATAAAAATATATATAACCAGTTACATCTAAAAATATAAACGAGCGGAACTCTGGAAAGTGTGTTAGCTTTACGAGCAAAGGAGAGCACGCCCAGGGCACATCTTCGACTTCTAGTATATGCTTCCTAATTCCTATTGCAGCATATAGACGGACCAGAAAGACTCAGTTGGGTCTCATTCAGTAACTGTATTGGTTCAATTAAGCCATGGGCTTAACCTGGGCCAAGTTGGGCCTGGTCGGGTACTGTTCCCAAAACGACGGTGTTTTAGGGATGCTAGGGTTACGCCATGAATTGAGCGGCTGTTGTTTATAAAACCACAATCTTCCGCCTGCTCTTCCACATCTTAGTTGGGATCCAAAGAAAGCTTCTTTTTTTTTTTTAATTTTTTGGTTTGTGCAAGAATTTGATGATTTTGTTTTGGGTGGTTATTTGTGAGGGGATGATGAAATTCAATGTGCAAACGCAGTACCAATCTTGGTTTCTATGAGCGGCACTTCCACACGAGATTTCTGACTCTCTCTCGCTCTCTTCATTTCTTCATATGCTTTACCAATTTATAATTTTCTGGTTTACGAAGTGTGGGAATTTTCCAATAACTCTTGAATGCATTTTGAAATCGTAGGGACGCCTGGTTCCGCATTTTTCTTTCATGGTGCGTAATCCAGAATAATAACAGTTAAACGTTGCATATATTTTCTGTTTCGGTCAAACAGTAGCATCAAATATCTCTAATTATCCTTCCCAGAGTCGTGTTTGAAAAAAGGAGACCCAGTGGAACTTCTCCTTTCAAGAAATCAACGGCAAATTTGAATCCGAATTGGTGGAGAAATTTTTATGAAGATATCATGATGGCAAATTTTATCTCTCTTTAATTTCAGATATGCAAAAAATGATAAACCCCAATTTTAATTAAAAGAGAGAATTTTATAATTCAATTGAAAATAATTAGATTCAATCAATTGAAAGAAAATTATAGGATAAATAGAAAGAGGGCGGAATAGAGAGAAGAACCCAGGATTCAGACGAGTCTGAACGGCATCAACAGTGGGGTTTTCACATTCGGTTCCGTATTATTTATTCCATTCGGTCCCTTGTACAGGCTATCAAACTAGGCCTTAGGGAGATATACCATTACACAATTGTAACCATGTTTAGGTCATACTTCATACTACTAATTAAACATTTCCAAGCACACAACATAAAGGTCTTGTTTCGCAGCTCGGACTGTACTAACTATTTCAGTCGGATAAGATAATTTGTCATCGGATAGTGGATAGTACTGACTATTTAGTCGAGCGTACTGATTATTTAATCGAGCGTTTTGTGTAATACCAGATTAAAAACTCAATTCATCAAAGATTATCATGTTCATTTACTTCCTCAAAAGGAGATTGAAGAACATTTATGGCACTAAGTTTCACAATTTAAAACTAGCAAGAGAGATGGGAAAAGAGCCAGCTTGATTTTGTTTTCAGCGACCAAACTAATTAATACCGACGATTTTGAGTGTATAAGTTATCAGGCGTACATCGTATAAAATAGGCCGAACCGCATAAATAATCCAGTGCTAATTTAATACGAAATAGCACCAAACACTAGATAGTATTAAATAGTATTATCTGTTGTGTTATCGGGTATGCCAAACACAACCAAAAAGTTTATTTTCTCTGTGTATCGCACAAAGAAAGTTTGCAAAAACTAACACAAAAAAGCTCAAGAAGCAAAAGCAAACCAACAAAGACAACGGCCGTAACAAGAAAGCCCACCAGGCCCAAAAAAAGGACATGCCCACCACTCCAGGGCCCAAAAAGAACTTCACAAAAACTAACTTTTACATTTTAGATGCTTGTACTAGTATACTTGTTTAGAGAAACACTGCATCTCCTTGGAGTGTAGACTTCTGCATTATAACAAGTACAATTCAGATGAAAATTGAGATGAGTATGTTTCGGAACATCAAATTTTCTTTTTTGATAACAGAATGTGAATAAAATTTACCGTCAAATTGCTTCTTGTTGTTGACGTCTGTTACGTTTGTTGGTTAGGCTAGTTTAGTTGAAGGTGGATTGGTACATGTGACTCCTCACCTGTCCACATGGTATTGGGAATGTAGACATTTCTACTTTCTGAATTCACGGCACTTGTGCCATAAACCTGTTACATAAAGTTTATTATTGCTAGTTTTTACTTTACCTTGCCAAATAAGGTAAGGTGGATTATGATTGATTTATTTTTTTAAGGATTTTGTGCTTGACAAACGAAATTTACCTTCTTGTACAGTTCCATATTTTGCATATGGATGATATTACCCTGCATGGAACAAAGAAGACGAAAAACGTATGATGAGTGAACTAACTCTTAGTACGTAGTAATGTGTAAGACAAAATAACGATTGATAATTATGTATTTTTGGAAAGACCTTTTGATTTAGGTCTTCTATTTCATCAGTTAATATTTGTTCCTGCAAGAGTTTAGATGAATGATATTTGTCAAACTTCTACTAAAAGAAAAGAATGACACCAGGAAATAAGATTATACACAAATAAAAGCATTAATTTCAGCGAACCTTTTTCATTCGAATTCCCTGCAGACTCATTTCTAACTGACTTTCTAGACCTTTTAGTTCTTTGACACTTAAACCATAAAGTTGTTCTCCCATGAATTGCCTGTCATATCACAATGCGGGACGATAAGTCGATGAGCAGTGTTTGGAGTCCTACCACAAATCAATGTATAGTATACATTGTTTTTTAAGTGGCTCACATCCACCCTAGGTAAACCCTAAATAATTAGATATTAAATTAGGACATTGTAAGAATTCTGTATATGAAGCATCTTATGACAATATTATCCATGAGATGATAACATTAGGTGCAGCCATCGTTATTTGTGTGTGCTTGTGTGCAATTTCAAAAACAATTGTTGAATTCTAACTAACTGAAGGAGAAAGATCGTACCGATGATTCTCTCTCAAGTTCTGTAGTTCTTGCCTTAAGCTGGCTACCTCCCTTTGCCAAAACTAGCAAGTACACAATAACAAAACAGTAACATGCATGCATCATTTGAGAAGTGCATCAGATAAAGTCCCTTTGACAATATGTCAGAAACTTGCGATTATTTAAGTACATTATAAACTTTGGTTTATCAAACAAAAGTAGTTTCTTGCAGTTTGTATACAGTTTGGTTTAGTTCAACATATATATTCTAGAAGTACTTCTGAGTCAAGACAAACGAACTATCTTATAATGGAGTTACGCAAGTTCATCATTCCAACATCAGGACTTATAATTTGTTTGGAAGATAACATGTACAGTTCTCATCCTTGGAAGCTGAAAAACATCCTATATATGTTTATATAATAAAAGATGGAAGAGTAATTTAAACTTATTCTTTGTACTGTTCTCACCAAACTCAAAATTATCTTGTGTTTCTATATATGTGAGTTAGGAAACACAAGTTACTACACACACACACACACACGCACGCACACATACATATATGTAACTAATTAACATGCTTGATCAGTGCCAAGGAAGTCGTATGCATGTTTAGTTTTGTCTGATGGTTGTGTGAAGCAATCTTTGCTTATGACTAGAACTGGTAGCCTTCAGAATTATGACTAAGCATGCATAACTCCATTAAAGAATAGTTCGTTTGACTTGACAAAGCAGGACCACAGAATATTATTGTAACAATTTTTTGTTCTTAATTTGTAGCAATATTACAAGCAGCTGTCTGGAGTTGGAAACTTTTATTCCAAAACCTAACAATTACTTGAGTACGTATGAGTAACTGAATGCCTAGGTATAAGTTTTATGCCTAGAAGGTGTAAGAAAAAGACGAATTAGTTTGGTTAAATACTTGTAAACGACATGAAATGGTTTATTGTGTATTGCACTTAGGTTGAAGCAGATACACAGATGTAAACATATTTTAGGGTTTCAGGTTTCTATGTACAGAGTTTAGTCATGAAATCCATGTCTATCCTATCATCATGCCTTCATGAACCCTGATATCTATTTTAAACTCAAATAGCATGGGAAGAAAGAAGACGAAATCCAACTCTTGGAGTATATTGTTAATGCAGAGAAAAATTAGCATTACTATTAATTAACTCCAATGTAATTAACATTTCATATGATATGCTGGAATATCTGGTTAATGCAGAGAAAAATTAGCGAAAGGCAGATGGAGAAGACCTTCACTTCTGAAGCTGGGTTACGAAGTTGCTGATGTCCCTCCTTTGATCTGCTGTATCTCTCTATCACTGAATTCAAGCTGGTGGAAATAAGGACATAACACAGTGATCAGGGTGATTCATGACGAGGACCTTAAAAATGGAAAACTTAACATTGACATTGATTTCTATATCACTACATTAGATATATATAGATACATATATATGGTTCAGGGTAACAGATATTAAGGGATATGAATGTTGGCAATTAAGAAGTAGAGGATTATCCACAGAACCACATGTAGTTTTAGTCTTTTGATCTATTTGGAACCCTAACTGTAGGTATCCAGTTGTAACGAAATTGGTTACTACGAATCCCAAGTTTTCATTTTCCGTGTTTTCCCTTTTCAGGGCCAACATCTTAATTAGATATGTTTGATAACTTTTTAGTTTTTAATTTTCACTTTTTGTGCTTTAGATATAAAGAACGTGTAGGGTAAGTATGGATGAAGAAAGGGTGGTAGGAGGAAGCAGATGAAATAAAGAATAATGAAATAAAACAAAATCTTAGAAGAAAACAACTTAAAATAGTATTTTTGTTGTATATAGTTTTTATTTCATGGATATTTTCTTGTAAATATTTCTTCTACTTTTCTCCAATCATCATTCCTCCACAATGCATGTCCTTCATTTCTCCCCTAGATTTCCTCTATTTCAAGCATAAAAAATCAAAAATCAAAAATCAAAACTAAAAATAAATAATTATCAAACAAGCTATTTGTTTTGCTCATTACTAAATGTGATCCACAATAGTTTCAGGGCGGTTTGTTTTAATGTTTTGATGTAACATCCCACATCGACCAACGGAAAAGGGGGTGATGTACCTCGTATGTACATGCCCACCTCCATATAGCACAAGGCCTTTTGGGACTCACTGGCTTTGGATTCCATCGGAACTCCAAAGTTAAGCGAGTTCGAGCGAGAGCATTCCTAGGGTGAGTGACTCCCTGGGAAGTTCTCGTCTAAGTTCCCAGAAACAACACCGTGAGGGCGTGGCAGGGGCCCAAAGCGGACAATATCGTACTACGGCAGAGTCGGAACTGGAATGTGACATTTGAGAAGTGAAAACATTTCACATAATTAATTAAATTAGTTTTCCATTTGGTTTGGTAGAATTAACTAAAAGTTTTCTCTTTATTATAGGTTGTTTTCTTAGAAAGCGCTTCCAAGGACATTGACAAGATGTACATACATTCAGGGATTGTTTGAAAATCAGCTCATTTTTAGTTTTTAATTTTCAATTTTGTGTTAGAGATAATTGAGATATGCATGGCAGAAATGGGGAAAAAACAGAAGAATGAGGATGAGAGATGCAGAAGAAATGTACTAGAAAAGAGACAAAATGAAAATCTAAAATCATTCGAGGTTGTTTTCACTTTCAAGATTTTGTTTTCATTTTGTTCCCTCCCTCTAACCATCTTTCCTCATTCCTCCTTTTTACGATATAATTTTTTTCGTATATCAAGCACAAAAAATAAGAATTAAGAACAAAAGTTATCAAGCAAACTCTTAGAGTTTTAATTAAATTGAAGGTCAACTACATTTGGCATTGCTGTTGACAAAAACAGACTTAAAGTCACAATATGATCGATCACTTGGATGTCATATGACCAACATATAAGAACTTACTAAATGAAAAGAAAACCCTAACCTTCTAGACGTAGAAAGAGTTGGGAAAGGGCTCATGTGACGTCCATATAAGCCAAAAAGTGATATATGAAGTACGTCAAAAAGTAGTGGTTAATTTGTAGTTAGACGGATAAAATGCTAATGGTAACTTTAAGGCTGTACTTGTCAAAGTATTAAAGATAGGTGTCAAACTATTAAGATTGCAAATTGTGATTGACCCTAAAATGTAACTAATTACCCTCCCTAACACTTAATTATGTGCTTTTAACAAAGCGATTTCGAAATTGTAACTTACCCTAACTTTTGAATATAGCGATTTCTATACTTAGACAAGCAAAATACATTTTTGTTTGGTTTTGGTTGCCTTAGGGTTGGGTAAGACCAAAATGGATTTATATTGTAAGATAAAAAATAGGTGATTGATAACAAGACATGAATGTGTTACAGTCACATTAACTAGGAATAGCTCCGAGAATGTATTCTTTTTTGTATCCAACTCATTTAACTAATAGAGGTTGTCATGGCACAATGTCTTTATCATATATTATGTAAATTCAAGGTCGATAGTGTTCTTTCGAGTATCTTCCTGGCTTTTAATTAGCATAGATATAATTTCTTATCATATCACTTTCAATTTTGCGTAGCATATCACCAATGCAGACGAGTTATTTTACCAGATAATTTGCTTTCATTCTTGGGCATGCAACTCCTCCCTCACATAGATCCGCATTGATCATCATCTCATGTGCCCCTTCATGCATGTTTTAGCTAGTGTTTTGTGTTCAAATTTAGATATATAGTAATATTTGTTGCACTAAATTAACCTCAGCTTTAATAATAATTTTGGAGTACCCTTAATGATCATACCTTTGACTTGGTTCAAGCTACTTCTATCCTTTTTTTAAATACCTTTAACTCCAAGCAGCTCATGATGATCTTCAAAGTAACAGCTTATACATTGAAAAATTCCCCAAAAATATATAGATATTTACACTGTGAGAAGCCTCTAGCTATATCTGCTTAAGCTTGCATTGTAATATAAATCTCTAGGTCAGCACCAATATTATTTTTGTATTTCCAGATTTGAATCTCTTCTTTCAAAGTGGTCCTAAGAGAATATATAGCTAATTAATTGTTTGAATTAATTAAAAAAATCATAACCATGCTATTTAAATGCAACAACATACATGTAGCGCAACAACTGAGCCATGCAAACTATATTTAACACTGATTAACCCAGAGATGCAAGAACTAAGGGATCCAAAATGTATAGAAAAAAAGAACATTGACATATTTTTTTGGTTTCAAACCTGTTGCTTGCAAATTCATAAAGCTTTCCGGTGCTTGAGAAGATCACAAGTCCAACTTCTGCATCGCACAAAATCGCCAGCTCTTTTGCCTTCTTAATTAAACCCTTCCTACGCTTTGAGAAAGTCACTTGCCTGCTCGTCGAATTATCGATCCTCCGAATCACAATCTTCCCCCTCCCCATATCAGCCCCCTTATGCTCTTTTTGTTTTAAGGTTTCTGCAATTGAATAAGATCAATATTAATGTTAGCGTAAGGGTTAAGAAGATTAAGAAAAAAAGAGTAGCTAGCCAATAAGAACACGGACGGTATTGATCAATCTGCCGCCTGTAAGAAACTATTTTGATACATTTTGCCCATTTATTAGAGCTTATATAGGCCAATAGTGGTTAAAACCCATTCCTTGTTTTTATTCTTTTTTCTTTTTCTTTTTTTATTTTTAATGGGGAACGGGTTTGGATTTTAGTATTAAATTGTCTTTGTGGTTTGTTATTAACCTGTGTATTGAAATACAAATTAACAGATTATATAATATATATATAACTTATGGATAGGCTATATATAGAAACTACACATCTATCTTGACTATTTTAATGGCGCAATTGGCCTAATAAGTCAGCGACACGTGTGAATAAAATATCATGCCTAGTTAGTTTTCTAGTGCAATTTGTGGGGGAATTTAGGCCTGTTTGGTATTTTTATTTCCACCAAAAACTGTTTAAAGTTAAAGTAATAAAAAAATATTTTTTTTTCTCAAAAAAAAAAAGTAACAAAATTCTTCGTCGAAATAAAATTTACTGTTTATTTTAAAATCAATGACATTCAAACAACAACTTTTTAAAAAAAGTAGTTTGTATAGGTTGCTTTTAAAAGCTTTTTTTTTATTTATTTATAAAAACAGAGTTGAGCCTGTCATATTCCGGTCCGGGCCCCACCACATCACGGGCTCAACTCCACCGTAACACGATATTGTCCACTTTGGACCCCGACCATGCCCTCACGGTTTTGTTTCTGAGAACTCAGACGAGAACTTCCCAGTGGGTCACCCATCATAGAATTGCTCTCACGCGAACTTGCTTAACTTCGGAGTTCTGATGGAACCCAAAGCCAGTGAGCTCCCAAAAGGCCTCGTGCTAGGTAGAAATGAGAATATACATATAAGGCTTACAGGATCCACTCCCCTTGGCGATGTGGGATGTAACAATCCACCCCCCTTAGGGGCCCGACGTCCTCGTTGGTACACTTCCGGCCAAGGATTGACTCTGATACCAAATTGTCACATCCCGGCCCGTGCCCCCACCACATCGCAAGCTCGACTCCACCATAGCACCATATTGTCCGCTTTGAGCCCCGACCACGCCATCACGGTTTTGTTTCTGGGAACTCATACGAGAACTTCCAAGTGGGTCACCCATCTTGGGATTGCTCTCGCGAACTCGCCTAACTTCGAAGTTCCGATAAAACCCAAAGCCAATGAACTCCCAAAATGCCTCGTGCTAGGTAGAGATGAGAATATACATATAAGGCTTACAGAATCCACTTCCTTGGGCGATGTGGGATATAACAATCCACCGCCCTTAAGGGCCCGACGTCCTCGTCGGCACACTTCCGGCCAAGGATTGGCTCTAATACCAAATTGTCACATCCCGGCCCAGGCCCCCACCACATCCCAGGCTCGATTCCACCGTAACACGATATTGTCCGCTTTGGGCCCTGACCACACCCTCACGGTTTTGTTTCTAGGAACTCACACGAGAACTTCCTAGTAGGTCACCCATCCTGGGATTGCTCTCGCGCGAACTCGCTTAACTTCGAAGTTCCGATGGAACCTGAAGCCAGTGAGCTCCCAAAAAGCCTCGTGCTAGGTAGAGATGAGAATATATATATAAGGCTTACAGGATCCACTCCCCTAAGCGATGTGGGATGTAACAGAGCCTTTAAAGTGATTTGCAAGTAATACTCTCATTAGCACGGAACTCCGAAGCCAGTGAGCTCCCAAAAGGCCTCGTGTTAGGTAGAGATGAGAATATACATATAAGGCTTACAGGATCCACTCCCCTGGGCGATGTGGGATGTAACAGAGCCTTTAAAGTGATTTGCAAGTAATACTCTCATTAGCATTAAAATGATGTTATATTTTTTCTACGTACATTTTCTCCCTTGGAAAACAAAGTGACCACCATCATCTACCATTACAACCACATAGCCTTACACCACCCACTGCCATTACCACCACCATCACAACCCTAGCCTCCCTATCGCCACTACCACCACGATCATTGCCACTACTACCAACACCAAAACTACCACCACAACCATGTCACCACCACCGCTGCAACTGCCTTACGACTGTTGTTACCTCTGCACCTCAACCAACACACTTCACTATTGGCGCCACCAACATACCCTCAACATTGTCGCTGCACCATCACTTCCATTATCACCACCACCATCATCACCACTACCATCATCGTCACCACCCACGACTGCAACCACTAGCCTTACGCTATCGTTGCCACAACCACATCCGATGTCAGCACAACACCACAATCCCCACCACTACTACCTATACACCTTACCCACCACACATTGTTATTGGCTTCACCACCATCACAATCGCAACCCTTACCGATGTTATCATTGCTACCTTTACACCTCAATCACCACACTCTGTTATTGGCACCACCACCATACCCCACCAACACTACTGCCATCACCACCACTGCCCCTACTAGCACTGTCACTGCCACCATCCTTAATACCATGTCTATTGTTTGGCATTATATACAATTATATTAAAATTTACCAAATGGTTTTATACTCACAACACTTTTAAAAATATAGTTTATTAAACACTCAACTTCTTTATTTTACATCTAATTATTCTTAAAGCACAACAAAAACATTTTTTCAAAAGCACAACAATCCTAACTTGGCCCTTAATTTTTGTTTTCATGCGGTTTTCTTTACATTGATCTAATGTTCTTTTTAGGGTGTTCATTCTTTTAGGGTGCCACTTAGAACTATAGTTGAGTGATATTCTTTTTTTACTTCTTAGCTCCGAACTCAGTAAATGACGAGTTAATATCAAATTATTATGGTTAATTACTATGACATGGCCTAAATACGTACATCATCCATTTATGTAAATATATTATTGTATAAAATAAAAATTGCTCAGTTCAGGGCACCCTCACACTAGGATGATTGCGATACATCATCACATAAATTGGTCATCATATAATTTGATAATTACTTCGACTGTTAATACAACTAGAGTAATTGATACACACAAACACACACACACACACACACACATGCCTACCTCCACGTCGAACTTCAATGATTCAAACCATTTATTTTGTAAGTCTCGATTTGTAGATTATCCTTGCAAAAATTTAATTTAATCAGAAATCATTTGTCTATTTAATTATTACTATGAAATTTCAATGTGTCTTAGATAATAAAGTATTCGCCAATTTCTTTGTACTCAATTAGATGCCTCAAATATTTTCAATTTGGGTAATATTTTGTAAGGATGATCTATGAGGTGCAACTTGAAAAATAGAAGGTTGGGATCGTTAAAGTTCAATGTAGTGTAGGCCCCACAACTAATTCTCATTTGTATAAAAAAAATGGAGATCCCTTCCCTTAAAGGCTTCTTATATATCTAAGTAGAATTGTAGTTTGTGTTCTAAAAGTCCTCGCTTGGCCGTGTAGGGCCCGCCTAGGTACGAGGCGACTGTCATAGTCCCGATTGATTCCTATGCATTTAAAAAAAATAAGAAAGAGTGCCCTGAAAAATCTAGGCACCCGCCTAGCCCGACTAGATGAGCCTAGGTGGGTTTAAGCGGGTTGGCAGATTTGTGATTTCTTTTGCTTTATTTTTATTAAGATATTTAGGGTCCAAACTCTTTATCTCGAATAGAAAATAGATAACTTTCATTTTGTATTTTATGTTTTTAATACATTGTAAGAGACTTGTTGGATACTTGAATGAACACATTATGTGCTTGTTCCCTATGTTCTCAATATGTTCTGGTCCTTTATAATTTACATATTTTTTACAGTTTATGTTTTCCAATACAATTATATATTATAATTTGACACTTATTTATATGGTTAGCGCTAGGCTCCTACTCACCGCCAACGAGCGCCTAACACCTTTAAAACATTGATTGTAGCACTTCAAAAAGGTTATTTTACATATTTCTCTTTTATTTTATTGTAATTTGAAAATATTGATGATGATAATTTTAAAGTGTCAATAAACTGATGAACTCATTATTTCTTCAAAAATTCTATTTGTACGTTTCTTTATTTCTTCATTGTTAATGTTCCGCTATCAATCTCTTCAAAATTTGACGCATATTTTGTAAGGGTTATTACAGATGATCCTTTTGTATATGTTTTCTTTTTATGGACTACACATACATGCTCAGTTTATGAGATCTGATAAACATTAAACGAAAAGCTAATTAATTGATTTCAGTTGTTCACAGACGTTGATAAGAAACTGGTGTGAACTTCTTTGAAGGCGTTAAACTGCTGCGGCATGTTTCAAATACCAAGTGACTGACTCACACGTGAAGGACTATATTTAGCATCCGCCAACCGAGGTTGGCTTTCGCACGCATGCCTTTATCGAGCTTAGCCAATGGTAATTAAACAAACCCTACGCCCAAGTTACGAAAGATTTTTTAGTGTGTTCAGAACACGGGACAGAATATCACATATTACTATACAATTAAAAGGGACACTTAAAAAAAATTCCTCAAATTATATAATAACATGTGATGTTTCACCCGTGTTCCGGCTACATTAAAAAATCCCGAACTACAGCCTGCAGAGGCACCTGTGAGATTTCTCTTTCAGAAAATACTCAGCTCAACACCACTACACTACTCAATATCTTATTATCATGTACATGCCACCCATATATGTCGAGTGATGCATCAAATTCATGTAACTTCCAATATGCATTCACGTTTTTTAAACTTTTTTCTTCTCTTCTTTTGGTTTTGTTTTCTTCCTAAAGTGGGCTACGGAATAGTCTTTATGTTCATGAACGGAATGGTCGCGGTCGGGCTCATTATTCCCAGTTTAAACGAAACGAAGTAGTTGACCACGGATATATCTCAAATTTAATCACCTACTAATTTGTTGAGAGTGAATCTTAAAGAAAGTTGAGGTTCCACCATAAGATCGATTGACAATATGAGGAATAGCTCAATCTAGTTATAAGCTCATAAAATGTTACTTTTCAATCAATATGTGATTCATTATCAATACGGCCCCTCATGTGTGGGGATTTTCAAGCCTAGCATGTTGATAACACAAACGGAAGGATGCGGAGCACGT